TTCAAATATGAATTCATTTCACCTGCCAGCCATGCTCATCCAGTCCCATCTGACGACAACTCAGACCATCCAGGGATTGGTGCGTACAAACTTCAACCAGAAGAGGGAGGACTACCTACCCATAGGCCTGGTCATAGATCCCCACACGAGGGCGCTGGTCACCAATGGCATGGTGGGACAGCTTCAGTTCTATCAGCTGGATGAGGATCGCCTGTTGTTCAGTGTAAGGAAAATCTCACTCTTCTTTTCTTCAACTGTGTACAGATCCTACATATTGTCACTGTTTTCATGAGGTGGAAAAACTGCATATTGAACGCTCTGTCGTAAAGTCCCTCGTATGTGTGTGTGGTGGGGGGGCATTTAATAGATTGAAACATGGTACTTCTCTTGCCCTCCACCTCTGTGCTCCAGGTTCGAATCCTACCCTGTCCTGCATATGGATTGGGTTTTCAGTCCCTGCCTGACTCTGGGTTTTCCTGGCATTGGCCTGGGGTTTTCCTCTCACTTCTAAGTATTCTTCTACTCTCTTTGTCTAAGTTTCTGCAGGCCTGTGAGATACAATACCTTTGCTCTTTTGAGGAAAATTTCATTCCATTATTAGACAGAATCAAAACAAATCCTGCAATGTCAAAGCTTTACATAGAGTCACTGCTCTTGCACATTGTAGACTGCACATATTCTAATAGGAATGACTCCATGCTTTTCAAATTTATACATGATTTCAAAAGGTGAGCTAGCATTTACGTGTAAGTTGCATGCAACATATTTAGATGCACATAGTCAATTTAAGGTCTGCTTAGGGTTTCCTTAGCAGCAGTAGTAAACAAATTAGATTTTTGACTGCCAAGCTCCAGAGAAACAAGGTTCCTTGATGCGGTTGTTAATTACCTGAAGAATCAGTATGAGTAACCTCATAAGGCGTGTACACTCACATGCATTAGTGTACTCAGGATTTCAGCATATTTTCTCCCTGTTTCCGCTTGGTTCCATGGTCAGCTTGACATCACAGGTGAGAATTACATATCTCCAGCAGACCTACAGCAGCCCCTGTTTCACACTGAGGTAGAGAAGGTGGCCTTTGACCCCCCAGGTGACTGGATGGCCACAGTGGAGAGGAGAGACGACAAACAAACATCGCCCGAGTTGCGACTCAAATTTTGGGAGTTTGATCAGCTTAAACAAAGGTACTGATAGTTCCACTTTTTAAAAGTGAAGGATTCAAACAAAAAGTCAAGTGTTTTGGATCTGTTCAGAAAAAGAATTCACAACACTTCAATGAAGAAGTCGATGTCCCTGTCTTGTGTCTTTTGTATATTGTGAAAGATGTATAATATTAATAGCACATGAGGCTAAGTTACTTCAAATAATTGAATATTCAAATATTCCACCTTCCTTTTAATCAAATATTCAAGTATTTACAATGTAGTTGTTTGAAATTACAACAAAAGCAGAGAGAAAACATACATGTTAAACAAAAAGTTAAAACTTTAAGGAAAAGAAATGTTAGCCTCACCGTCAAGTGTCGGCATTCAGCTTCCAGCAACCAAGTAAGTGAATTTATCCTTTTTTATTTTATTGGTTTTTGTCCCTTAACATTTGATATTGAAGATAGATATTAAATAACTTATCATGAATGGAATATTTGAATTTTTTGAATTTTTGAATAATTGACACAGCTGAACACAATTGCCAAAGATGCGCCAATTAAACTCAAAAGTCAAGAATATTGATGCCAAGACCCTCAACAAATCCATACAGAAAAGATATGCTTAGTAGAAACAGGTGACAGGTCACACTATCATGGAAGTAGAATGTATCATACTGCTGACTGGTTCATTGCTGATTTTACTTTTACTGAGGACATGTTTACCAATGTTGTTGTCTACCTAATGTACTAAACTAATTCTAACACAAAGAGTTGTCATTTTAAATAGCAATGATGGCAATTTTGTGTACCCATTTTCTGGTTTCTTAAGCATTTTTGCAGTTTTAAGTTTTTTTCTTTTGGGATTTCTTAGTTTTGTCTTAAATACCGTCATCTCGGAACCACATGCCAGCAGGATCAACTGCCTCAGTTTCAGGCCATCCTCATCAGTGTCACATGACACCCACGAACCGATGGCTTTCACCACAAGTGATGATGGAAAATTTAAGCTGTGGGCTGCAGCAAGTGATGATGACAGTCAAAGTAAGTTCCAGGGGAAACTATGACAACTTCAGGATAGACATAATCCTGATTGAACACAGCGACATGACTTTAAGGTGAAGTTGAACCCTGTGACCTCTACAGCATTGTACTATTGCTCTACTTGTTGAAGGCCTGGACTGAGGTGGCAGTTCCTGTGTTTTTTGTTCTCTGTACTTTTTTTCTTGGGGGGATAACCAGTGATCAGAAACCAGCATAATTGGTGGCATCTTCCACATTTGCAGCGGGGTTGACATAGCTTACATCACTTAATTTAGTGTGATCTCCGTCGCCATAGTTTTCATGAATGGCGAATGAATTCTGCTTTAGAGTTGGTGAAAGTGAATTGAATTGCGTCACGTAGATTTGACTTTAACATTTGCTCTAATGAATTCATGGGCTTTCAAGTTTGTTTGAGATATAAATGAACCTTCAGTGATCGTTTCTTGTAAAACTGTTTCTTAGTAAAATTATAAAGGATAAGTAGGTAAAATTACAACTTAGCTGTCTTGCAGGTTGTGGAGTGTTTACTGTACGTCAGCCATTTGCCATTGACCATGTTTGATCTTGCTTGATCTGTTAGACACTCATGATCCCATGCCCTGCTATCCAGCTTTCTTAGCGTTTCCCTCGTCGGTCGTTCCACCCCCATCCATCATTCCAGGCATTGCATGTGAAAATGCAAATCTTGATGTGATTTGTTGGGTGTAGCATATTGAGGCTTCAAGTGGGCTGTATATTGCAGTCACTCAATATTTTGGGATTTAGAAATTCTTCTAAGTACATGTACCTCTGAAGTGTAACAAAAAAATCACTTTGAAATCATGGCAGATGAACACTGATAGGCCTACCCATAAAATTACATATACGCCTGGATGGAGCATGCTAACAGGTGTATTCCTGCACAGTGCTTTTCAAGGTTTTCTGAAAACTTACGTTACCTTATCAATGGCTTGTCCTTGTTAAATTTTATAGAAAAGGGCAGAAGTTGGGGCTGTGAGTCTGTTGGCTTCTTCAGGGATGAAATCCCCAGTTGCGCCTGCTTCTCAGCAGACGGATCCCTCCTGATTGTTTCCTTTGGTAATGTTGTGACGACGTGGGACCCAGACGTCAACGTCTTGAAGAAAACACTTTGCCATGGGGTTAACGACCAGCACATAGAGTAAGTTTGTTTTGTGTGTTGTTGGAATGATTCTATTCTAGCATAGCATAGCTATTCTTGGTTTTTGCATTTCTTTACACTTTTTATATGGAACAAATGTAGCCGAATAACCGGTGCTAAGATTGATCAGAGATATGAATCAGTTATTGCCAAGTCTACTCAAACAGTTTTTTCTCTCCTAAAATGGATCTAAAATTCAGAGGAGGGTGAAATGATTGCGGGGGGGGGGGCTTTTATGATTTATGGCAGTTCATACCTGGTACAGAAGTGCACATTGAATGCAAATTTGTGACATTTGATCGAATATGCAATGAATTTTCAAAAGTTGACCGCATTTAAACTTGAGTTAGTTCACTTTTAATGTTTTGTGACATCAAACTTGCTATTCTGATGTACATGTAGCCACCTGGAGTATGAACCAGTTATCGTGAAACATTTTTGACGTTTTAACCTTTCAATCTGTAGGCACGTGGTATTTGGGCATGGTTCCGCAGCTCACTGTCTGATTTCAGCCTCATCGAGTGTTCTGAATGTGTGGAATCTCCTAACATGCACTGGTGAGTTGGAGTGTTGTGATTTGCTCCATCATGTAAAAGATCTCTTGCATGGTTCTAAAAACTGTGGATTATTGTCCAGCTGTGAAAAATAATGTTTGTGGCCTTGAAAACAAGATCCCTTGCCTCATATGCGTTCTCTTTACTCAGTAAATGCCTGTGAGGGCAGAGAGACGATTGTTTGAATCCTATACTTTTGTTGGGTGCTCCCAAGTATCTGAGATGACTCTCTTATTTAAAATGCTTCATGCAGGAGTCTGTGGGATGCATTTATAAACAATTTAAGTTGACCTGGTGTCAGAGGTCAAAGGGGAATATGGCTTGCTGGCCATACCAAGACTGTTATTTGATTGAAAGACAGAGTCTGTGTGGGAATTGTCTTGTACATTGTGGACTGCCATCTTAAGTTTGAGTGCAGAGTCGTTGTGTAATGTATTACATTTCTATTTTTTCTCTTTCTTTTCTAGAGACAAGATTAAATACATTGTATATTTAATGGTATACATGTACTTTAATCTGTCATGTGTAATCTAAGATTGGAAATTTATTTGCAAAATTTGAAATTGTGTGGTTGCATAGAGTTTAGTTAAGTGTTATCTCAGACAAGTTTAGTGCAAGACCAGTTTCTTACTTTTTATTATAACTTTCTTTTATCATTCAGTGATGTGGAGGGTCAACATGAATGTTAGTGTACTCGTTGCTGACACAGAGTCAGAGTTTGTCGCTACATTTGACAGATCAGGAAATTGTGAGTACACCTTACTTGCTCTAGCATTGCTTTACTGGTCAGGCGATTTGTGTTTCTGAGTCTCTTGCGCTGCCAGAAACAAGCCAAGCATTGCTGTAAATCTGAGGTGAATGTGATCTCTGACAAGATGAATGAAAGCCATTTTCTTATTTGTCAATCCTAAGTGGATTTGCATTGACTTAATTGGGTTTCAACTGGATTTATTTGATTTCAGCTGGTTTCAGTTGATTTGAACTGAATTTGGCTTATTTCAATTAGATTTGGTTGATTTCAGTGTTATTCAGCTGGTGCAAGGCTGAGATTGGCCAGGAGTTTTCCTGATAACAGGGTTTTTAACCTCCAAAACATACCTACCTGAATTCCATCTTATTAGCTCACCACCCAAATGCAAAATCTTCGTTATCTCTGTAAAGTGATATCACATTTATGGTTTTAATGGTTGTAGTTCTGAAGTTCCAGTAAACTTCAATTTTTTAAAAAACTTTGTCCACTTTGTCATGGAATTGCCCCTGGTGTGAAAGGCAATGTGTTATATCTATTATCGACATGCAAAAGCTGGTTCTGGTAGGCAGAGAGAGTCAAAAGTGCACTCAACTTAAGTCAGTTTATTGCACATGTACGCATTGCCTGGGAATCCCCCCTCCCCTGTATGCAGGCATGGCCGAGTATATGTAATGCCAATAACTCCTTCCTCCACGTGTACATACTTTATGGATGGCCCCTTCATTTTACAATCTTACCAACTGCTGTATTCTCATGAATGACGATTGTACTGTTCACAGCTCATTTTTCAGTTGTTTCTGTCCCTTCCAAATAGTGTTTGTTTTCCACCCACTGGAACCTAAGCTAGTCTACACCAAGCAGAACCTGCCAACACCCAGTGTCATGGCAGCAGTGTTCATCCCCCTGACAAGAACAGACTCATCTTCATCTGGAGGATCTCATCTTCTGCCGTGGGAGGAACACTCCCACCTTTACTTTGTGACTAAGGGCCTGATGCTGATGACCGAAACTAGCCAACTTCATCAGCAAAGAGTCAGTCATGCTGTAAGTGGTTGACTTATTCGAGGCGTTATTGCGGGAACGGGAAGGTTTAATTTAAGTTCTCTCAATTTCCTTTCCATTGCCGTCTGTCCAGTGCCTCTTTGATCGGATTGAACTCCTCGTGACATTCTACAAAATGCTGTCTGCCTGTGCATATAAATTCACCTATAAAACCTGAAAAAATACCTTCACTCACCATATGCCGTTGCGTGCTGCCCTCTGTTGTTTAATTGGTCACCACTGGTAAATGAAACATTCATATTTTGTGTATTGTTATCTACATGTACTCGGACCAAACTATAACTTCTTGTAGCAACTCGGTGAAGTAATAATCCCCAGAATCCTTCAACAGTGCATGAATTGGTATGTTGTTTTTTGAAGAGATAGTTTGAACTGCAGGATGAAATGAGGACAGAAGATACAGTGCACTGAATGCAGCAGATTTGTTACAAAAAAGGAGTAATTATGAAACCTTCACAATTAGTATTCATGTATATTCATTGACAGATGCCGTTGTCTGCAAAACATATTTTTGCCTGTGAGCATACATGGGTAGGCATTCACTGCGTTAAGGGGACAAGTTATTTTGTTAGGGAAATTTGAACCGAGTTGTGGGGACATTTCTGACTCCCCAGGACATTTTCAGTCCCCACAAAATAGATGAAATGTCGAGTGTATGTCCCCACAAGTATGGTGCGGGAGTAGCTCTACGTGTAGATATTCACCAAAGTTCCACAACTCAAGTGAAGCCACAAGTCACATTTGTAAAAGTGAAGTCTCAAGTCAGCTTTTTCCAGTCACATTTGTACCTAATCAAACTTCCACAAGTCACATTTGTACAAGTGAAGTCTCAAGTCTGCTTTTGCCAAGTCACATTTGTACCTAATCAAATTTCCACAAGTCGCATTTGTACAAGTGAAGTCTCAAGTCTGCTTTTTCCAAGTCACATTTGTACCTAATCAAACTTCCACAAGTCACATTTGTACAAGTGAAGTCTCAATTCTGC